AATTCCGTGTTAAAACATGGCTTAAACCCTTATTTTTGGACCAATATAAATTCTATAAATTCCATCTGAAAGCCCTGTAAATTACTTAACTCTACATTCTATCATTTGAAATCTTTGATTGCCGTGCCAATCCACATGATTTGTATTGGGGTGGGGGGGGGGGGGGGGGTATCGCCCCTAGCGATATCTATACAGGCATACAAATTATAGTTTACATGAAACGGCCACATTTGATATATATACGCATGAGTTTCCTCGACAATAGTGGCACAAAGTCCCACACGATTGAGCGTGTTCATCAGTTTATTCAAAACAATAAATAAATACTAGTAATTTATACCAACCTTTGGTCCAGGATATGATTATTCCTTGACCGACCTATTATCCGCAATTCCCGCCAAAACTTTCACGACTGAGTGCAATTCCCGCCAAAACCTTTACGACTGAGTCACTTCGATGTTTGTCAGAAAATGAGTCCGCCTTTTACAAATCGCAGCCCGCGATTTGTAAAACACGGACTCAGTCCGCGTTTTACAAATCTTAGTTCGCGATTTGTAAAACACGGACTCAGTCCGTGTTTTCCCGGTCCAGTCCAGTCCAGTCCGTGTTTTACAAATTCAGTCCGCGATTTGTAAAACACGGACTCAGTCCGCGTTTTCCCAGTCCAGTCCAGTCCAGTCCGGTCCAGTCCAGTCCAGTCCGTCTTTTACAACATGCCGATATACCCCGCGTCAAAATATTCAGCAGAGAAATTGACACCTTCCGGTTTCTGACAATGCTCGACCTAATTAGCATGTAGCATAAATTTTTACATTTATTTAATATAGCAACTTAATTGCAGAATTGTAATCTTTGTTTATGAAAGGTATAAAGATTGTTACAAGTATTACAGTTTAAACAAATGCCTGTATTCGCCGATCGATATTTCAAGCCGTTTGCTAATCGATTCAAGATATTCATAACTTGAGCACGCCCCTGCAATGAACATGGAACCACCGGTAAAAATAAATACAAAAATAAATGACCAAGCGTGACAGAAAAAATATTTGCGTATTAATTGCGAAACGTTTAATAAACAAAAGCAAAATAAAAGTTGACTTTAAAGTTATTTTTTTTAAGCAATGTTGCTGGGTAAGGGTTTTCAAGAAAAATTACGTTAGCAACGCATGCGTCGTCACCCGTCAATTACAGGAAAATTATCAAACTTTGTAGATGATTTGTGGCTATGCCCGTCAAGTGCCCAAATATTTTACGTTTCTCGTTAAAAAAACACAACTCTAGTTTTTCAATGGTAGTAATGTGTACTTGGTATAAGGTGCCAAACTTACGAAAATTGCTATTTAATTTGTCTTATAATGTGTGACTTTGCAAACTAGTAAAAGTGTATCTTTTCAGAAAATTATTTCTCCTCCAATCCTGGATAGATTTCCCTGATTTTTTGTTGTAAGAAACTATAAGCACTGATTGTTAAAATATTTTGATACATAAGACTCTCACTTACCTGCTTGCTTCGCGAGAGTCATACGAAAATCTGCCATTTACAGCAGTTTCAGGCCGCCATTTTGGACCCGTCAAGGTGTAAAATATCGATGGGCCAAATTTTACAAAAAAAGCTTTTTAACGCAAACCGATTTCTTTTTTCATACAAGTACCTGAAAGGAAAATTATTGTGAAAAATTTGAAGACTTTCATATTTCCTTCCAGAACTGGGTGCCCGGTTCTTACAGAGACAGCCTCTTAATACATTTACCCGCTGGTGTTTTGATGAAATCCTCGGCAGGATTCCTGCCCCATCGCCTGCTATGTTCACGTAGTTCGTCCATGCTTTGATGGAGCAGGATTTCGGCGAACTCGCTATATGCGAAAGCCCCTGTATTCCCAGGCTTTCTTTCCTTTAGGGGAAATACAAAAGGAAATACTTCCACGAACGGGAAATACAAAAGCCATGATTAGCCATTTACTTTATAAAATGAGGAAACTTTCTAAAATCATTGGTTAAGATAAACACACACGTTACTACAAACAGTGCAGTACTCCAATACAGGTCAGTCGTCCGGCTAAGCTTATTCCATCTATGCTGAAGAAAACGAAAGGAACGTTGGAAAGAAAGATCACGGAGACATTTTACATTGAAAGAATGGAAGCTGACCTGAACTCAAAGGATGAGCGTCAATTCCTCAAATTAACGGTTTTTCTTGAAATTCACAAAACAATTTTGCTCAAAGTGTACGCCACGCATATTCTACAATTATTGTGCAAATATTTTACTCTTTGTTTTTTAAGTCGTGTCTTCCTGTTGCGATGACCCATGGTTTGGAGCCAATAACTCGTTTATGAGAAATGCTTTTTTCCCTTATTAAAAATATATAAGTGAATTTATTTCTTAATATGCAAAAAAAATTCGCAATTTTAATACCTTGCAGGGTCTGTCGGAAAGCGAAAAAAGGCTACGTTTTGCGATGTTTTTTTGTTGCTATTATTGCATGTTAAAGCAGAACATCAGCTGGATCCTGGAGTTCTTTGTCTTTTCTTTTCCAAATTAAACAAAGGACATTTGAACCATCTTTTTAGCAAACTTTAGCGCATCTGAGACCGTGCGCAAATATGTAATTTTTTAAATTAACATGTAAATTGCTATGCATGGGTTCAGCTATAGTGATGGCAAGTGATAGCTGATGTCGTCGTCATTACACTTGCTGACTCCCGCCTGCGCTTAAAAAATCTAAATAAAAGTCTAAATAAAAGTTTTTTATTTATCTGTAGTCACTTTTAACCTGAAGATGTAGTTATACTCCGAATCGTAGTTATTAAAATAATTTTTACTACGCCAATTGTCTAATTATTCAAACACAGAATTCGCCAATATACTACTGCATATAAAATCAATCGTTTTAAGGCCATTATGCCGATTGTACAGTGTGAGGAAAGTGAAAATATTTAACAATTATTCGCTGACGTGATTACCGGTGAATACAGAGACCGAGGGTACAGGTTTTCTCATCTGGACCGACGCTGCCGGTAAATAACGTGTTTGTTTTTAGCAGATGTAAAATTAAATTCATTAGAACTCCAAGGTAGCATGCGAACTAATTTGAGTCTGTGCGCTTGTGTATTAAATCGAGGCTGACAAAAAATAAAAAATTGAAAAGTCGAAAGATAAACACGAATACGAAAACTCGAGAAAATTGGAGAGAAACACGTCACAAAAAGACATATAGTTTCAGTAAAAATGTATATGCTTTTTTCATGAATGTGGTAGCAGAAAAGCATTGTAATAAAAAGTTTAGGCTTGGCGTTTTGACTTTGACAAATTTAGTTTTAATATACATATCACATAAAGTATACACAATTCAGTCAGATTCCATGTCAGATAAAAAACAAGGTTCAGTATATCTGTGGAAAATTTGGAATGCCAGTCTGATTCATCTGAAATGTTATTGCAATCACTGATGTTGATTACTTTATTCGACATCAATTTAATAGCAAATGCGACAGTATAGCTACAAAATGAAGCAGAGCAATGTCATGTGAATATAAAGGATGCTAAGACGAGATGACTCTTGAATAAGTACAATGCCTTTAAAGTGTGATGAAATCACGCTGAGAACCGATGGTGCACCAGCGGAGCCCCTGGTATACATGAAAGCTTATACATCGGAACACTCAGATGATATGTTTTTCTGCAATGAGAAGTTCACATGGGATTAGTTGCATGCTTACGAAGAAGATCGTTGTTTGGAAAGAACTACTTTGACACAGTTAAAAGTCACTGGAAAAAATTTTGAATATCCATAGAAGGCCATGGAATGTAAATTGTATGGACCTTTATTGGAAATAGAATGGATTTTGATAATCCATAATAATTGTATATTTCCATACTATGGATATAGTATCGAAATAATATGGATATAGTATGGATTTAGTGGTGCAATTGCAAATTTCATGGTATGGATTTCACTTTTTTTCCCAGTGAGTTTTAGTGAAAGTCATTCCAAACTGGGAGAGAAGCACGAATAATTTGTCAAATTCTCTTGCGATTTGCCTGACAAGTATGAATCTTGCTCTACTCACGGGTTGGGCGTCCTTGTGCGAGGATTCGTGGGCTGGCCAAGGAATATGTTGACCGCTTGAAGTGTATGAAGATCAACAAAAAGAAGAGGACCGAGAAACGTCAATTAAAAACCAACAAGGAAGGAACCAAAACTATGATGGCTATGATTGGATCGGCATGTTTAACCATGGACTTTTGAAGAAATCGTCAGCTTTAGTCCTTAACAAGTATTTATCACACCACGGCATGTTATATATTCTTTGAAATTGAGAAGGTTGAGAAGTTCAGAGTGAGCTATCTGACGTGAAGATATCTTCATTACAACGAGAATTAGTCGAGATAAAGGAACGCGTCAGAGAAGCCCAAGCGAAGGAGAAAGGTGGGATGTGAAGACATGAACTGGTAAACTAACCAGACATGGAATGAAATGAAATGAAAAAGTAACAATTGAAATGAAAAACTAAATGAAATGAAAAACTAACCATTTTTAACGAAATATTTTTAAATTCCCAATAGATAAACACTCCCCAATAAAGACTATAAAAGTACGTGGAAAATCTTGTCAATTTATTATCCCCGAAATAAAAGCATTGATGATAAAAAGAGACCATCTCCACAGTCTTTTAGGAAAATACGTGATCATTAGGATTGGCTTAACTTTCTTTAGAGAGGTCCGCAATTTAACAAAAACTGACTTATCAAAAGACGTATCAAAAGCTTTCGACAGTGTAAATCATACTTTTCTCCTTACAAAACTTAGCAACGTCGGGGTTTCTCCAAGCGTTGTAAAATGGTTTGACAGTAGAATTGGATCAACTGTTTCTAGTTTCTACTCCTCTCCCTGTTTCTTATGGTGTACCACAGGGTGCAATTTTATCACCTTTACTTTTTAGTATTTTATATACTAACGATTTGCCCTCATCAGTGCATCACAGTAAACTTGAATCGTACGTGCACGATTCCAAGATATTACAATCTTTTACTGCGGCAGACGTGGACTGTTTAAAGCAACAACTACAGGAAGACTTTTATTTGGTTGATAATCGTTGTTCTGAAAATGAATTGCTTATTGTCCCGGGAAAGATCATGCAACTACATGCTGATTGGTACACGGCAAATTCTTCAACAACTTCCCGAAGATATATATGACCATAAATTTCCTCAACGAGACTATTATCCCTGTTCCTTCCGCCAAAGATCTAGGAATGACACTCGATTCTTATTGACATATGACCAGCACATCACCAATCTGGTTTCCTCAAGTATGAATTCCCTGTGCCAAATAAACCGAGTCAAAAAATGTTTCGATGAAGAAGCTTTAACTCTTATCTTATCTTTAACTCTTAATGAGCAAAATGTTTTATTGTTCAACGGTTTGGTCAAAAACGTCGTCTGCCAAACTTAAGAAACTACAGTTAGTGCAACATTTTGCGTGCAGGATTATTAAGAATTATTGGATGGGGCAGAGCAGTAAGCCGAATTCAATAATTCCTTTATTATTCAGAATCTATAAATTTTCAGAATCTTTGTCTTGTACTATTTTTTCAATTTGCTCTGTTGAAACCGAAGCAAAACGAGCAGAAGCAACAGAAGCCATTGTCAAAACAAAATAATTTTACAAAAAGAGAAAGAGACCCCCAAAACTCCAACAAGGCTGCATGAGTTGCTGAGCAATTCCTCATTGCTTATGGGAGGAAATTACACTCTCTACCCAAACCACCCAACCGCCCCCCCCCCGCTCCGGCGCTGCCTCTGCCTCGGGTATCAACTGGAATTTCACCATTCGAGCTATGCTACTGATGGATAGTCAAGGAGCCCATGACCATTTTGAAAGAACTGTGCTTCTTGATTGAGACAAGCGTCGGCAGATGTAATGGAGCGGTTGTTGATGACTTGCCCCCCAAAACAGACCCCCCCCCCCCAAAAGAAAAACAGCAGCGAACGTTATCCTTGGTGAGCAGCTGACTGAGGAACAGAGAGTCCAATTAGAAAACTTTGTGGTCGACCGATATATGAAGATCTTTTCAACTGACGTGCCGGGAGATAATGACCTTACAGCGATCCAAACCATATGCAATACCTTACAACGTGAGAGAATCTCTAAAGTTGGATATCGAGGCACTGCTGCAGATTGGCGTGATCAAAGAATCGAAGTGTCCTTGCTGAAGCCGGTTGTGGTCGTACGTAAGAAGGATGGTACGAATAGAGTGTGTGTTGACTATCCGAAGCTTAATCGCCTCACGGACTTCGACCCGACACCAGCCAATACCACCGAGGAAATATTTGAGAAGATGGCCCATAAAAAATATCAATTGGAGCAATGGGTACTGGAAAATTCCCGTTCTGGGGAAAGATGTTCCTAAGATGGCGTTTGTTACCACGGACGCGGGATATACGAATTAATAAAAATGCCATTAAGAACGCTAACTCGCGAGCAATGTTAGCAAGAGGCACGAGGAAGCTGATAGCAGAACTTGCGATGTCGACAACTACGTGGACGATATCACCGTGCACACCGAGACATGGGAAGGTTATTGCTTCTATAATATACAATCATCGACAAAACACTTAGGGCAGTGCTAGCCCTCGTGCCCCCCCCCCCTAATCCCCCGCGACCCCTTTAATAATGTTATGTTATGCTAATGCTTATTAAAGCAATGACAAGTGAACCGATCCTTCACCTTCCAGATTCAAATAAGCCCGTTCGTTTCGACAACCGATGCTTCAGATGTTAGAACATTCCCCATCAGTTACGCTTGCAATTAGTTTCTCCAAGACAACGCAAGTACAGCACCATCGAAAGAGAATGTTTGGCAATTGTGTGGGTGATACAGAAGTTTCGAGTCTGTTTTTACGGAAGAGAGTTTGTACTCCAGGCGGATAATCAACCATTAATTAATCTATCTGAATCTAGTTAGGTTTTTTATAGCATGCATAATACAAAAGGCGTTTGACGGACTGCAAACGTACAAAGTTTGGAAATGAAAATTTTTCATTATTATATGTATATATATTGTTTTATGAGGTGCACAGTGATGCTTTATTTGATCGCTCGCGACCGATTGCAAACTAACACTTCGTAACAGCTAGTTTTCCTGTAAAAGCAGCGTTTGGTTTGTAATTTTTTGGACGAAGGATCTTTCCTCGAAACGTCGAGAATTATTTTTGCCTTTTGGATTGATGGTTCCCTTAATTTGAAGACTAACTCTTATCTTTAAATATATTGTTCCAATATAGGTGAGTGTTCAGCAACCCAGGGATATCACAACACCCATCTTCACCTTGCTTTGACTCGTGGATTAAAATGTCATCCTAATGATAATCCCCCGACTGTAAAGGAAACACTTTTGTGTGGCAGGTAAAATATTTTGATCATGAGCAGTATAGTCGATAGCGACTACCAGCCATGTTTTCATTTTGAAGGAAAAATTACATAATTTGGGGTAGCATAAATAATATCACAATATCATTTTACGAATTCAGACAAAAGACAGTATATTTCAACCTATACAGAAGGACTTGAGTTATTATTATAAGATTCATAGAAGGCAACAAAGTTTAAATAGTCGCCCGATTTTCCGTGTTTATTGCAAGGGAAGGAATTGTTTCTGAAAATGAATGCAATTCACCCATGCGAAAACAACATATAAGAGCAGACATTCAATAAAAGTAAGTTAAATATTATTATTATATATCAATAGTCAAACTTCTAGTGTTTTATTGGTCGAGAGCATATCACGTGAGAGTGACGAAATTAGATTGTCTCCCTCGCAACAGCGCGAGAAGGAAACAATACGTTATCGACCGGCGAATAACGAAAAAAATCACGTGCGCCATCAGGTGAAGTTGTGACCTTTGGACATGCCTAGTAATTTAAACTTTCGCTTTGAGTAACTGCAGTGCTTAATTTAACGTTTTAACAATAAAATATTTCATGTATTTACGTTCATTTGTTCTTTAATTTGTTGTTTCTTTGACTATTGATATATAATAAAACACTTATTTACTGAGACCGAAGGAAACAGTGTGTTTTGTGGACCCGAGACCGTCGATGTTTCCCGAGGCTCGGGAAACATCGACGGTCTCGGGTCTACAAAACACACTGTTTCTTTCCCTTGGTCTCAGCAAATAAGTGATAAATAACGTCTTTCAAACAATGAAATCAATCAATCAATAATTTGTGCGCCAAAACTCATTACCAAGGAAAAGAGATTTTTATGACATAAATGTTGTACGTTTCGCGTTTCAGATACCTGCGTGAGAAAAATTATGACGGGTATTATTATAACAAGTGTCAAAATTTACGACGAGATTTGCGCGAGGCATATGATGAGGCATTCAAGAAATATGATGTTCTTATTATGCCAACAATACCTAAAAAGGCTTCACAATTTCCTTCCAAGAACCCTTCCTTATCTGGTGAGTGGAAGAAATTTTGCTTGTGAGCCACTTGCATTGACGATCTATAGCTAAGCTAATTCCTGACGGGATCATTTAGCTAGTAGATAACTTATAATTTAGGAATCATTTAGCTAGTAGAATAATATTTTATCACGGAATCATTTAGTTAGTAAATAAATATAATTAAAATACTCATTAATAATTCATAAACCTTATGGCGAATCATGTCAGCCATAACATGTCACGTACTTTATATCTGATAGAACTCATCTTCATTAGTATTCTTTATAGTTATAATTGCTCATCTTAATTAGTATGATTACATAATTGTTCATCATTACTAATTAGTATTCTTTTCTAGTCGTATTTTAAAGGTGCCCTACAGTCCGACCTGCGCATGTACACAAAGGAGCCCACTTTTTATGATACAAACAGTTTAACTATGTTTGGGTTCTTGCAAAGCCTGATTGTTGTTTCTTGATCATTTATTATACTCTAGAAGCTTGAAAATATAAATAGTTGTCGAATAAAGCTCAATATTTTGGACACAAAAATGTAAACAAAGGCTTTGTTTACATACGGACTGTAGGGCACCTTTAAACTATTCCGCAAAACACTCGTTGTCGTGTTTTATCAGGTATAAAGAGAGCTTTAAGAAAGGGACATTTTCCCTTTGCGAACGCCGAGCAGAAGTCAATAGAACTATTATAGATTGCTACAGTGTTTTTTAAATGTGAAACTAGAATCATTGACAAAACCCTTCGGACAGTCCTAGCTCTAGTGTCCCTCTTAACTTCCGTGGTCCCTTAACAATGTAATTATGTTATCCTAACATATAATAATGCAAGCTGCAACGTTAACAATGAAAACGTTGTTATGCACAGCAACATTGGTTAGGGGGAGGAAAACATATTTCGAGGAAACATATTTGGAGGAAACATATTTCGCTTTTTATGAGATTTTAATTTACAATCTTTAGATTTTGGGGAATATATTTTAAAGTGCCGATGGGGGAAGGTTTTGTCATTGATTGTATATTAACTGCAGCCGTTCTTGATTTTAAGCATGAACTGCTGACGCCATAATTGACGGCTATACGTGTTGTCAAGAACGTCGCTTGTTTTAGTTCTATAGTGTATCTTTAGGGACGTGTACGTAATATAATATTATTCGTTTTAACCACTAAGTTTGTTTTTTTTTAACCTCAGAATATCTTGAAAAAGCCTACGAATTGTCCAAAAACACCAGTCCATTTGATGTCTCAGGTCATCCTGCTTTGTCAATCAACGCTGGATTTTCACATGGGTTACCTGTGGGAATGATGATTGTTGGTAAAATGTTTGATGAAATGACAGTACTAAACGTGGCGTACACTTTTGAACAAATGCGTGACAATGTATAAAATATAGAAATCGAATGTTCTATTATCAGCCTTGTTAACTTTTAAATGCGATATCGCGTTTAAAAATCGTATCAGGTAAAATAGATGCCATAAATCTATGGTAAAAATGAGTCGGTTATTTATGGGTGCGTATAGCAAATGGTATACCGTTCACAGTGATCAATGAGTTGACCAAGGGTTTAAATCAGAATATCCAGACAGATGTTATCCTTCTAGATTTCTCTAAAGCTTTTGACTCAGTCCCACATTAAAGATTAATTAACAAAATAAAATACTATGATATACGTGACCAAACCGCTAATTGGATTATGCATTTCTGTCAAATACACCCAAGTCATATATCTATTAACGCACTCATTCCAATCCGGTTGATGTGGTCTCTGGTGTACCTCAAGGATCGGTGCTGAGTACGGTTTTGTTATTATTGTACATCAACGAACATTGATGGTACACTGTGCCTTTTTGCTGATGACAGTGTTATATTTACCGAGAGATTCATAGTCACCAAGACCGGATCTTATTACAACAGGATCTGGAAATGTTGCAGAATTGGGCCCATCTCTGGCAACTAAATTTTAATGTCTCGAAATGCTATCATGTTAGAATAACTAAAAAGATGAAACCTCTGATCTATACGTATGTTTTGGAGGGGGAAGCCATTTCTAGTACTTCTTCAACCGAGTACCTTGGCATCAAAAGAACAAATTATTTTAGACAGAACTAGAAGTTACTATCGCAAGGGAAGTGCTGCATGCCTTACGACCAAAGCCCTGGGGGTTGATTATATCAATAAACTTCATTTACTTAATTTGCCTTATACACAACTGTATGAATGAATTTATTTTGTTCAAAAAATATCGAAATTACAACATGCAATAATTACTAGACATAGTAAAGTGTACTTCGGAATTTCATATTTATGCAATGCCATGTTATTTTTGGTGCCAATATTTTAAATTGACATTTAAAAATGGCAATAGAAATCATTCTTCAGTCTTCACCTGTGAAAACGTCTTGAAGAGAAAAATTTGGAAGAATATGTCTGTTAACGTGATACAATTAAGTTTGTTGCAAGTTTTCATATTCTTTCTAAGTAATTACAGTTTTTTGTTTGTTTTTTCATTTCGTAAACAAGTGTTACCATAGATTTTTGTCCAATATGTAGATGTATCGCATTGATATATTGGGATACACAATGGTTGGTTTTCATTAAAAACAGGTCCTCTATATAAAGTTTGTTCGTTCACTGCAACCAGGTATATCAATCATGTTTCGCTCGCTACTCTGGTTTAAATAAATGATTACAAAGCCCAGTCGAATTGTAATCAAGACCCAACGTTTCGACACTCCAGTCTAGTGTCTTCATCAGGGGAGATCTAAAACTGCGATCTTGGCTTCTTAAATACCCAAGGGATGACGTCACCTGCCAAGAAGATGCATATATTCCTCTGGCAAATAGGCACCGTCATCCCTATTCAAAGCATGATGACTCATATTTATATGCCACGATTCTATGCAAAGTCTTTGACCATAGCGATTGTTTGTGGTAATTACTTTAGAGTTTTCCCACGCAATCTCGTGTTTGGTGTAACATACATGTTCGGCTAAAGCTGATTTTCCCTTGTCTAAAGTTGAAACAGCCTTTTGATGTTCTTTTGGCCGTGTACCAAACTGGCGTTTAGACTGACCCGAATACTCTTTGTCACAGTCACCGCATGGTATAGAATATGAGTCTTCTGATTTGTTTCAACAGGATCTTTTGGCTTTGCGAAAATATGGCTTTTAAGGCAACCTTAGAGATGCCGTTCTGCGCATATATTCTGCGCATCAAAACATTCCATCAGTGGGGGAGCAACCTTTGGAATGTTGTTAATATTTCGCACCTTCCGAACTTTCTTGAATTGAATCTCTAGTCTGTATTCATTTACAAGCATAACGAACCAGAAAAGTGTTAAAAATTCAGTATAATATATATCTAATCATATTTTACAACTGTAGCACTGAGTTCAAAATGTAAACAAAGCGTTTGTTTACATTACGGACTTTACATCACCTTTAATCTTTATCTTAATATCAAATAGGGTTTTAAGGCAACCTTAATATTACAATTACTTAAGATTCTCTTGATTGGTTCTGTGACACCTTGAATGTATGGAACTATTGCAAAACCTGCTGTGTTGGTGTAATGTACTCAGGTGAATAAGATGTTTGTGTGTTGTTACTCTGAGTGTATATCCACACCGGGCAGGCTTGAAAAATATGCCTGGCCACGGCGGGATTCGAACCTACGACCTTTGGAATACTAGCCCAATGCTCTTCCAACTGAGCTACGCGGTCAGGACGGTTCGAGTAAGCGATATTTCGGAACTGAGCTAGTATTCCAAAGGTCGTAGGTTCGAATCCCGCCGTGGCCAGGCATATTTT